TACAATTTAGCTGTGGGACTCACAATTTCAGCCTTTACTTTGGCTCTAACTTGAGACTGCTGTAATGGACTTTTTTCCGGACCCAGGGGCTCTATCCATTTTTTTCCATTCTGAACATCCTAAATTACTTTAAAGATACAAGTTTTTCTTTAAGCCCATACCAGAGAAGTAATAAAAATTTAATTTTTGGCTGAGATGGGTTATTTGCGCATTATGTGCAAATACATACATACAATACTTATTGAGAATATGTTCAATTTTGTTGGTTTTTCATTCCGAATACCTTATTATAACTCTTTATTTCTTAATATTGATTACAATTACTTGTTCGCGTGCGACTCGCAGCTGTTGAGGGCCGCGATCCGGGTTGCCACAAATCCCATTCCCTTTAATGTTTGGCCTTGATCCTTGATCTATAAAAAAAAGCATCAAAGACATACAAAACGAGAAGGAACGTGAAAGTCGCTTCTGGGGACGCGACTCTACTTATACCCGTACTCTGTCAGCATATACATTTTTGAGCATATGATTTTTTAGAATTTTAGAATATAAAAAATATTTTACATTTTTTTGCTACATCTGTTATCTACATCTACATATATTACGTATATTCTACATCTAACATGTACCATTTAGATTCTACATCTCCTCCGCTAGGGGTTTCTCGCGCATTGCTCGCGGCAGAGTGTGCGAGCGAGAAGGAAAATGAGTTGCATGGTCGTTGGCAAGAGGGGGCAGGGGAAGCAACTGAAAATTTATTTCTTCATTCTGGCTATAATTATGATCCGATCTGATTTAGATTCGGCAGTCTGGTAGATATGGTCATTCTCTACGATAATGCGTTTTTAGTTTTATCGTATCTTTAAAAATGTGCCTGCCACAGATTTTCGTCCTTTGTGTGGGCGGAAGGGGGCGGGGCGAAATTTTGAAATACACTTGTAGCAGTGTGATATCACATGAGTGTGGAAACCAAATTTGGTTGCCCTAGCTCTTATAGTCTCTGAGATATAGGCGCTCAACAAGACAGACAGACGGACAGACAGACAGACGGACAGACAGACATGGCTATATCGACTCGGCTATTGATGCTGATCAAGAATATATATACTTTATGGGGTCGGAAACTTTTCCTTCTCTGCGTTACACACATCCACTTTTACCACAAATCTAATATACCCCTTAACTCTTTTTTGAGTACGGGTATAAAAATCTATTATAAAATTTTCCTTCTCTGCGTTACACACATCCACTTTTACCACAAATCTAATATACCCCTTAACTTTTTTTTGAGTACGGGTATAAAAACAGAGACAGTAATGCTTCCCTTTGCAGAATATAAAATGCCGCTCGTATGGGTCTTTGAACAGGACAATGACCCCAAACACACCAGCAAGAAAGCAAAGGAATGGTTCTAGGCAAACTCTGTGAATGTTTTGGAGTGGCCTGCCCTACCTGAATCCCATCGAAAATCTGAGGTCCCACGTCAAGCAGGCAGTTGCTGCTTCCAAGCCAACCACTATCGGATCACTTTGGGAAGAAATTAAAGAGTCCTGGTCCAAAATTCCCCTAAAACGATGCCAGGACTTAGTGTATTCCATGCCTAGACGCTGCGCAGCTGCTATTGCCAATAAAGGACACTGTACTAAATATTAAATTATGCATACAGATTTAGTATAGTTTAAAATGGTTAACTAATTAATTCGTTACATATTGTTTATTATTTTAATTTTAAATCAATTTTTTAAAAGTGGTGCTATTTTTTTTCGCCTAGTTTTATGAATTTCAATACAGTTCCTTAAACAACTTAAAATCGTTACAAAAAAATATGCTTTTTTTTTGTATTCCCAGGTGTTTTAGAGTCTCCCATTTCTAAAAATGTGCTTAAAGATTCCTTAAAGCTAAAAATGTGAGTTTGGCAACTATTTAAAAATTGCTATTATTTTTTTCACAGCTGTATGTATATGTATGTATCTTACTTTGCTCGGCTTACGACCGGTTTTTTTCATTCATGATATTACAGTAGGTTACACAAAATCCGTTCGATCTATAATACATATTCATACTATGTCAATGTGTACATATGCAAGGTCGTACCAAAGAACAGTATATGTAAGTATAAGATACATAACGCCATACGAAATTTTTGCACACGAATTTTGTATGCTGGCTCTAGAGCTGGCTCCAGGCTCTCTTGAAATTTTTTAGAGAGAGAGAGAGCGCTCTAGAGCCAGCCGCTCTCTTGTATGCATACAGCATACGAAGGCACACGAAGTTGGTTCTATGCCGCTGCGACGGCCGAGCCGAGTCGTCGCGACGACTATATGTGTGCACATGCATACGGTTTTTACAGCGCTGTTGAAAAATACCCTTCACTTTATAAGGGTAAGTTAATTTTGCAAGACGCTTACCACCCCAATATTAAACGAGAAGGAACGTGTGAGTCGCTTCTGGGGATGCCACTCTACTTATACCCGTACTCAGTCAGTATATACATTTTTGAGCTTATAATTTTTTTGAATTTTAGAATAAAAAAAAAATTTTACATTTTACATTTTTTTGCTACATCTGTTATCTACATCTACATATACTATGTATATTCTACATCTAACATGTATATTCGACATGTACCATTTAGATTCTACATCTCCTCCGCTAGGGGTTGCTCGCGCACTGAACGCGGCAGAGTGTGCGAGCGAGAAAGAGAATCAGTGGTTAGTTTTCTTGTCGGAGGGGGCGGGGAAAACAACAGAAAATTAATTTCTTCATTCTGGCTATAATTATAATACATTCTGATTCAGATTTGGCAATCTGGTAGATATGGGCATTCTCTACGATACTGCGTATTTAGTTTTATCGTTTCTTCAAAATAGTGCCTGCCACAGATTTTCGTTTTTTATGGAGGCGGAAGGATGCGGGGCAAAATTTTGAAATACACTTGTAGCAGTGTGATATCACATGAGTCTGGAAATCAAATTTGGTTGCCCTAGCTCTTATAGTCTCTGAGATCTAGGCGCTCAACAAGACGGACAGACAGACAGACAAGATGCTGATGCTGATCAAGAATATATATACTTCATGGGGTCGGAAACGTTTCCTTCTCTGCGTTACACACATCCACTTTTACCACAAATCTAATATACCCCTTAACTCTTTTTTGAGTACGGGTATAATAAAATATATTTTTTTAAGATTAAACTTTTGTTTAAATATTTTTATCATCATTAATAATTTATAATTTTATATAATAAATACGACATAAATGGGTTTTTGTTAGTATGGGGGCGGAAAGAAGGCGTGGTCTAAAAGACACAATATCAGATTATTCTACATATTTGTTTTAGACCTTAAAAATATTTTTGCTCTCTTTTAATAAAAGTTAATTTGCGCGACTGGAGTAATTATAAAATTTAAATATATAATAGTCCCCTCCAAAAATATTTAAGTTAACAAAGGTGTACTGTACCAAATATTCAAGGTTGCTAAGTTATATCTATTTTCAGCTAAAGCCTAGTACTCAGATCGAAAAACTGTTTGCTAGCACACAGATGTCATATATTTTTCGAGCGACCAGAGGTGTGCACTGCATTCCGAACGGTTACACTGCTCAGACCGCTGCACAGTGGTCGATTCTGCCAATCTGGCAGGCAATAGTTAATTACTCAAAAAATAAAGGAGTAATATTTTTAAAAATATTTTTGTATTTTGGAATATAAATCAGCGGAGAATTTAAATAAATTTTTAATTTTTATTTTTTAACTTAAAAACTTTTAAAAATAAATTTAAAAAAAAAATAATTTTTTGTATATCAAAATATTTTAAAATGTTTTTATAAACACTTTATATTAATACAAAAAAGGTATAGATAAAAAATAAATGCTTTGTTGTTTTAAGTATTTTAAATTTCTGCGGTACACTTCACTCAGAGGCAAAATTACTTAATTTTTTTTTTATTCGCTAAAAATCATTTTCTTTGAGTACGTTTTTATCAATTATCAATTAATTGAGTGAAAACATGGATCCAACTCGCGTTAGCTTTTCTTTCTTACTCAGTTTCCATGCGCCATATCGCAAAAAGCGCGTTTTTAGAAACTGACATTTATCCTATAAAATCAAATAAATTAACGTGTTGCACGTAGTTGCAATTTGTTTTAACACAGAAGATTCAAAAAAGACTGGTTTCATAAATAAAAAAAGATTGTAGGCGGAAGGGGACGGATGTCAAAGGATCTATTCCATGCAAGTGTCGGGTATGATATTAATAGCAGACTAAAGGAAATGTTAAGTTCTACAACGATTAACCACTAATACATGTAAGCACAGGACCAACACATATATTTTTTATTGAATACTTACTAGCTATGATCAAAATGGATGGTAATTTTAATTTTATTGCCTGCCAGATAGGCAGAATCGACCACTGTGCGCTGCTTGCTTTTGTTTAAAGTTAACACAATGCGAAGTGCATTGCGGCTGGGGCCGCTCTTCCCCAGGCATATCCTGGGCTCCCCAATATTTTATTGGCAAGGTAATGTGTCTGACTATCAGCAGCAGCAGATGGCGATGGCGATGGATATATCAAATTGATATAATTTTCGAGGTGGGTCGAAACATACCAAAAAACAAGCAAATACTTCTGATACTTTTCCAGTATATACCGACCTTTTTGTTGTTTGATCTAAGTACTGCCTTCCGTACAGAGCCTAGAAAACAGTTTTCGCTGTAAAACATTTCTTATCGGTTTCATACGAATATCAACCCTGATTCTGTTCGCTAGGTGTTTTTTTCGATCTGAGTACTAGGCTTAACATCAATAAATATTTAAAGTCACTAGATGATTTATCGACCACTGGGTGGAAATGGGTTAAATTAAAATGTTCCTCCAGCAGTTTTATGAATACCACCACCACTTTAAGCTTATCAGTAGAGAATACTTAATATTTCGATACTATCGATTTAATAAAATGAATACATCGTTGTTTCGGACAGAACTAACTTGTTTCTAGGTGTTGGCTGCCAATTGTAGAGTGCAAATGAAAAGTTGCGGATTGGTGTCTTCGTTGACCAAAATTTTCAATTGTAATTACTTGTCCAATTCAACCTACTTTGAGGATAGTTAACAACATTTCTTAAGTGTAAAAAGCAGATTTTAAGTGTAAGTAAGGTTTACAATTCTATAGTTTGTAAATGCGATTGCCCAAGATTTGCAAAAAACTGATTTTAAATACTGATCTGGTACTACTTTCTGTATGTATTTTAATAAAATATTTCCTGGTATATGTACATATATGCATATACATGCAATCATTTCTTTACGCATGCACACATGCCATATTTTTTAATAAGTTAATTGTAGCTCGCATTGTTAGTTTAGCCAAGATTGTAATAATTTGTACAACGTATTCTGAATTATTTTTACTGTCTCGAAAAAATATATTCTACTATTTAAAATTGATTATTTTTTCTTCTCTATTTCTTTCTTGCTCTTTGTCATATTTACTGTGCGCTCTTGGCGTTGGTGCGAATGGGACAAATAATCATCTCGACTGTTTTTGTCTCACCGCCTGTGGTCACGTCGACCTGCTTTTGCTGACGCTCTCGATTGCGCACCGCTTCGTGTCACTGGTCGTGCTGCTTACTCTAATCTGCGCTATACGCATCGTTGGTGGTGCAAAATTGCAATTTTGGTGTACAAAAAAAGGAAAGTGAATAGCCAACAGAAGCAGGCTACCTAACGGATAGGCAACAGAAAGGAAAATTTTCATCATCTTGTAGGACACAAGAACTTTTTTTAGCGATAGTGCCATTTTGAGTCTAAAATCCGTTACGCTAAACTTTAACAAAATAAACCGGAAATTTCAGTGATTTGTTAAGAAGTGAGGAACAAGTGTGTGTCGCTTAAGCTGCCATCAAAAATATACATTTCGAACAAATAGAAAAACAACCGGAAACTTATAGTTTGTGCTGCAAACACACAAAAGTGGACAAAACCAATAATAAACTAACATAAGTTTTGTCACCAGTCTATGGAATCGCATGAACAAAAAAAACATTCAGGATAATAGAGACATGATAGCAAAATATATTTCTTAACAGCGATCTATTTACACCACACGTACCACAGTTCGATATACATACATGTGGTAATATTTTAAGTTTTCAGAGTTTCGGTAAACAAACGACATCGTAATTAAGAAAAGGATATAAAGGACAAAATGTGTGTATAGTGTATGAAAAAAAGAGTCTCACGACACCAAAAAGGCTTTGTCTATTGACAATTGATCCATGGTCAGCTACTAGGCCGTGAACAAAAAGCAAATACAAATAGATTGTTAACGTTACAAGGATCTTATAATCTTAAGACGATACCAGCTTGCTACAAAATAATCACGTACGTATATTTGATCTAAAATCATCTCAGCTGAGACTTAATGAAATCCGATATACTTTTTTAACTAGAACTTCCGTCACTCCAGCATCACTAAAAGCCTTCGCCGAGTACAGAAATCGGGAAACACGTGAATAAAAGATTCTAAAACAAAAGAAAAGATAATCAGTTTTATCGATAAAAGATGAATGAACTGGACAGTCTTAGGCAAGAAGCCGAATCCCTAAAAAATGCTATACGGGATGCTCGCAAGGCCGCCTGTGACACATCCTTGTTGCAGGCAGCCGCCTCTCTGGAACCTATTGGACGCATACAAATGCGCACCCGACGCACGTTGCGTGGCCATTTGGCGAAAATTTACGCGATGCATTGGGGAAACGACTCTAGAAACCTTGTATCAGCTTCACAAGATGGCAAGCTAATTGTTTGGGACTCGCACACCACGAATAAAGTGCACGCCATTCCACTGCGATCTTCGTGGGTTATGACCTGCGCGTACGCTCCATCGGGCAGCTATGTTGCTTGCGGTGGGCTCGACAACATGTGTTCAATTTACAACCTAAAGACGCGCGAGGGTAATGTCCGTGTGTCCCGAGAGCTTCCGGGTCATGGTGGTTATCTATCATGCTGCCGTTTCTTGGACGACAATCAAATCGTTACCAGCTCAGGTGATATGTCATGTGGCCTTTGGGATATCGAGACTGGTTTGCAAGTTACTTCATTCCTGGGCCACACAGGAGATGTTATGGCTCTTTCATTAGCACCGCAATGTAAAACCTTCGTCTCTGGAGCATGCGATGCATCTGCTAAGCTGTGGGATATTCGGGAGGGTGTTTGTAAACAAACATTTCCAGGTCACGAATCTGATATCAATGCTGTAACCTTTTTCCCAAATGGACAAGCGTTTGCAACCGGATCGGATGATGCAACCTGTCGCCTATTTGACATACGCGCCGATCAGGAGCTTGCTATGTACTCTCATGACAACATCATTTGTGGAATTACCTCTGTGGCGTTTTCAAAGAGCGGTCGCCTGTTATTGGCGGGATATGACGACTTCAACTGCAATGTGTGGGACACGATGAAAGCTGAACGGTCTGGTATTCTTGCCGGCCACGATAACCGTGTATCATGCTTGGGAGTCACTGAGAATGGCATGGCTGTGGCAACTGGATCTTGGGATTCCTTCTTGCGTGTATGGAACTAAGCGAGATTAAAAATTCATTATTGGGTGGGGTGGGGTCAACGGTTGCGCAGTCAGCGGTTAGTGGTACACCATATACATTGTGATCTGATGTACATGATTTGGTGTAACCCCCCTGTGCTTAATTTATAATGAGTGTCTGCAGGTTTTGAAAAGGTGGGCGCAGCGACGTTGACTAGAATGTAGACCACAACAACAAAGAACTTTATATACAACATTATTTATATTGCTATATACTTATTAACTTAAATTATACAACAAACCAAAACGCAACTACAAATAGACATACACACGCATACAAGAATATTATTAGTGTAAATTCAAAACAGAATATAATGAAGGCCATGCTGATAGTCAATCAGTAAGTTGTTTTGTCAGAATTCGGGTTACAGTTACGGTTAAAATCGTACGTACAGAAAACTTACTTCATGAGTGGATGAGTGCGCGACCAGGAGTAACAACACCATGACGCATTAGTCGTTTGCACATTGAAACAGTATCATTGAAGGCATGTATGACTTCAATCAAAATACAATTTTTCACGTATAAACCATAACTTCAGAAAGTAAATCCTGATGAAGCGAAGTCAAATAAAGTTAAAGCATTTACAAAATAAAAAAAATCACAGCAAAAAAAAAGTATATTAAAATTATTGCGTAAAAAACTTTAAAAATCAAGTAATGAAAAAAGTAAACAAAACACTTTATAAAAAATTTTCTTATTATGTTTAAGTCCTTAATTTATATACAACAAAAATTAATAATGATTTAAATAACATACTAATGTATTAGTGAAAAACTATTTACATATAATATGATGGCCACATAAGCTACAACAATAAATTGAAAAACCACTTTAAATCCTACAATACATAAACGATTCATAAATGTTTAACAAAATCTTAACATACATACATACATATGCATACATAGAATAGCGGAAGTAATGGGCGGGAAAATAAAATAAAAATATTAATATTGCAATAACAGCGCTTGAAAATAATAGACACATACACAAAAATGTTGTTCGATTGTTATTCTCATTTTTTAGGTTTGCCACTGTTTGATTTTTTTATTTTTACCTGCAAGGAAAGACTTCATTCAAATATAGTGTTTTTATTATTTTTGACTTATTTTCCAGCAGTGTAACTCCTCATGCAAATATATCAATTAGTGTTCTTATTTTCCAGCAGTGTAGCCCATAATTGCAATGCATCACGGTTAGATGTTTTACTTCATATTTAAAATTACTTAAAGCTCTTATAATAAACTTGCAGACACAGAGTTAAACATATATATTTCATTTATACAGCATGCACAGATTTAAAAACGGGATATAAGCTTGGGTCCGATAGATAGCGATGTAATTTGCTAAACTGAAACAACTTGCAAGCAGTAAAATGTATCATAAATGTAATAAATTTCAGCAAGAAATCATAAACATGCGTATATTCAACTATACTCAAATTCATCACAAAAACATTTCTTTCAACTTTCATATACTTAAGGCGTATTGGTGTGCTAGTTACAAAAATGGTATTTTAAAGTCTGCAGTGTCTTAGACCATTGCAATCTTTTGAGCAGTACTTTTTTATAAGTACGTCGCAATGTTACACTCGATGCACTCCTATATGATTCGTGAATTTTTTTGTATAAACCGTAAGCTTACAACATAATAATGTATGTATATCTGCAAATGTAGCTAAAAATAAAACAAAGCTATTATACATTAAATGCTTTATTTTATTTATATAATTTCAAAACAGAAATTGTAAGTGCACGCAGATTCTTAAAAATGTTAGTATCCGAATGTTTTCCGTGTTATTATAAAAATTAAATTTATTCAGAATTTTATTATGTTTATATAAATACGACATAATTTCACACAAATGCACTTATACAAAGATATTTTAGTTAATTTTTTTTTATTTTGCCTATTATCTACATACATATATATACCGAAATCGAATAAAATTAATGAAAAAAGTGTATCTTTGTAATTAGCCATTTACATTACAAAGAAAACCAATTAAATGTGTCAAACAAATTGGCATTTAAATAAAAACAAAAGGGTATGTGTTCATCTAAAAATAACTGACATACATAAAAGCAAAACTTATTCAGAAATAAAACTAACTAAAATTAATTTATAATTTGTGTCATAGCCGTAAACTCGGCGTTATACTTAGAATATACATACATACAATAATAAAGAAAATTGTGTTAAGCAAACGCCAATCAAATTAATGTATGTATGTGAATACATATTCAGATTCATAGAAGTACATATACATATGTGTATGTATGTACATGAAGGATCAATTTATTGAATAAGTTCTTCGTGAACGTTAATTAGAATGACGGGTTAAGTATAAACATATGCCATGGTAGCAATATGCATACATGTACATATGAAAGAAATCACAAAGGGTTCAAATTCCTTAGCACGTGGTAATTTCATCGCAAAATTCACTTGTCATTTAATTGTAATAAATCATTTAAATGGATCAGACAAAAACACTAGAATAAAAAGTAATGCATGATGCGAAAAAATCTAAATCAGCATACAATTCAGTATACATATGTATGAACATACATATATAAGTACATACTGTAAGCCACTCATACATAGCTTACAGGTCTGGTCCTCTCAACATGGAGGCCTTTTAACAGGAAACTAGGAATAATATGATTTTAAAAATTTCTAAAATTTTCAACATTCTTCAATCAGCTCAAAATTAAAAATGGTATATTCATATATATGTTAAACATGCATTATTCTACCCTTTTCGTTTCACTACTAATTCAACCACAAGTTCACTTCTGTATAACTACGTGTCTTTCATATCTCAAATATTTTTTCAAATCAGAGCATTTAATTATATAGCTGCCATAGTAAAGAGGAGGGAGGGAGAATAATACTTGCAGCCGAAAGGTCCACCTACAAGGTCTAATAAACTTCGGCTTGCCGCAGATAGCTTCATCACAGCTATTCATATCAATGAAAAGAGCATGGGAATGCACTTATTTTCGTTTTCTTGCAGATATGGGTTTATCTAATATTGCATCGACTTTATGACATGACTATTGTTTAAAAATAATTTGTAATGATCGTATTTTACCAGAATTGAGTAATTGGTAACACCAACAGGTGACACCAGATATAAATACATTTTGCGAAAAAAAAGCAGTGTGAGCAAAAAGGACTTCTTGATTGGCTTTCAAGTCCAACTGGTAGTTTCGACTAGTCCATTATGACATAATGATTGCAGCCATAAAGGTCGTATTTCGATAGACTTCATGTTCAATGTAGACTGCGAGACACAAAGATAAACGAGAAGGAACGTTATGAGTCGCTTCTGTGGACTTGACTCTACTTTTATACTCGTATATAAGTATGTAAGGTAAATATGTATGCAACGACGCAGAGTGTGCGAGCGAGAAAGAGAGTGAGTAGCCCGGTTTCGTGCTGGAGGAAGTGTGAGAAGCAACTGAAAATTAATTTCTTCATTCTTCATAATATTCCAATTTGAATCAGATTCGGCATTCTGATAGATATGGTCATTCTCTACAGTGTAATATCACATGAGTCTGGAAACAAAATTTGCTTGCTCTAGCTCCTATAGTCTCTGAGATCTAGGCGCTCATCAAGACGGACAGACAGACATGGCTATATCGACTCGGCTTTGATGCTGATTAAGAATAAATATACTTTATGGGGTCGGAAACGTTTCATTCTCTGCGTTACATACATCCACTCCGACCAGAAATACAATATACCCCTTAACTCATCGAGTGCGGCTATAATTAGTGTTGGTATCCGTCTCTACAGTGCTATCAGTCGAAGAGCTGTGGCACTATTTATGCCACAACGATTTATGTAGGCCAGGCAATTTCAAAGCATGATTCTACCGGTTCTCTGCCTCGCCGCTACCATCAGTTCGACAACAAATCAAAACTTGTTATATATCTTTCTCGCGTACAGGGCTTGCTTTCCCATGAGGTAAAGCAAAGAATACCTATACAATACCTCGTCTCTGACCGCGAACCCGCTGCCCAACGGCAGCCAAGCAAGCTAGAGACAGCTCCGCACAGTTGGGCCATAGACCTTTTCAGCTTGAAACGAGAAGGAACGTGTGAGTCGTTTCTGGGGACACGACTCTACTTATACCCGTACTCAGTCAGTATATACAGCTTATGATTTTTTAGAATTTTAGAAAAAAAAAATTTTACATTTTACATTTTTTTGCTACATCTGCTATCTACATCTACATATACAATGTCTATTCTACATCTAACATGTAGATTGTACGTGTTCCATTTGGATTCTACATCTCCTCCGCTAGGGGTTGCTCGCGCACTGAACGCGGCAGAGTGTGCGAGCGAGAACGAAAATGAGTTGCGTTGTTTTTGGCGGGAGGGGCACGGGGAAGCAACAGAAAATGAATTTCTTCATTCTGGCTATAATTATGATCCGATCTGATTCAGATTCGGCAGTCTGGTAGATTTGGTCATTCTCTACGATACTGTGTTCTTAGTTTAATCGAATCGTTAAAATTCCGTGGGCGGAAAGGGGCGGGGCGAAATTTTGAAATACACTTGTAGCAGTGTGATATCACATGAGTTTGGAAACCAAATTTGGTTGCCCTAGCTCTTATAGTCTCTGAGATCTAGGCGCTCAACAAGACGGACAGACGGACAGACAAGATGCTGATGCTGATGCTGATTAAGAATATATATACTTCATGGGGTCGGAAACGTTTCCTTCTCTGCGTTACACACATAAACTTTTACCACAAATACAATATACCCTTTAACTCTTTTTGGGTACGGGTATAAAAACTGACTATTCCTATCGTAGTGGAAAGTGAACAACGAGTGAACAGTATCGTAGAGAATGACCATTACTACCAGATTGCTGAATCTGAATCAGATCGAGTCATAATTATAGTCAGAAAACAGTCACAGTTCATGACTTGGAGATATCTTTGGCGACAATAAAACCTGTGAAAAGCCGATTAATCGGAGTCAAAGTATAAATATTGCCAAATTTCTGAATTGTAGAACTTCAGGACCTTCTAAAATGTTGTGTAGACTGGTCCACAAAATTCAACTCCACAAAAAAAAAACGAGAGGGAACGCGCGAGTCGCTTCTGGGGACGCGACTCTACTTATACCCGTACTCAGTCAGTATATACATTTTTGAGCATATGATTTATAAGAATTTTAGAATTAAAAAAAATAATTTACATTTTACATATTTATGCTACATCTGTTATCTACATCTACATATATTATGTATATTCTACATCTAACATGAAGATTGTACATGTACCATTTAGATTCGACATCTCCTCCGCTAGGGGTTGCTCGCGCACTCAACGCGGCAGAGTGTGCGAGCGAGAAGGAAAATTAGTTGCGTTGTCGTTGGCAGGTGGCGGCAGGGGAAGCGACTGAAATTTAATTTCTTCATTTTGGCTATAATTATGATCCGATCTAATTCAGATTTGGCAATCTGGTAGATTTGGGCATTCTCTAAGATACTGCGTTTTTAGTTTTATCGTATCTTTAAAAATGTGCCTGCCACAGATTTTCGTTTTTTGTTGTGTCGGAAGGGGGCGGGGCGAAATTTTGAAAACCAAATTTGGTTGCCCTAGCTCTTATAGTCTCTGAGATCTAGGCGCTCAACAAGACAGACAGACAGACGGACAGACAGACATGGCTATATCGACTCGGCTATTGATGCTGATCAAGAATATATATACTTTATGGGGTCGAAAATGTTTCCTTCTCTGCGTTACACACATCCACTTTTACCAAAAATCTAATATACCCTTTAACTCTTTTTTGAGTACGGGTATAAAAAAGGGCGGAGAGCACAGAATCGATCAGTGGGAAAATTTCCCCTAATTTGCATAGGGATCTATCTCCCCCTCATCTTCCACCACTATTTCTACCCTTCCAAAAAACTTACTTTGTCTCTTTTAGTTACCTACCAGAATGCTAGAGGCTTGCGTAGTAAGCTCAGTACTCTTTTCTGGAGAGTCATGCATTCTCGTCCCACGTTATTGTGCTTGCCAAGACCTGGTTAAAGCCGGACATCCTTAGTTTCGAAGTTTTGGCAGGTCGGTACACAATCTTTAGAAATGACCGTTCTTCTTGACCTGGAGGAGGTGTCCTCATTGCAGTGGACTCAAACTTCACGTCGGAACATTTCATGGTCCAGGTCAACAAGACCTGGAATTCCTGTGCGTAAAACTGATTCACCCAGACTTTTCCATTTTCATTACTTGCTCGTATATTCCTCCTTCCTCATATATCTTAATATACGAGCATCACCTGTCCGCTTTAAAAACTGTTACTTCCTTGCTATCAGATAAAGACCATATGATATTTCTTGACGATTTCAACTTTCCAGGTGCTGTTTGGTCTTCGGTAAACGAGTCTAATACCCTAGTTCCCATGTCACGACATGACCTTATCGACGGCTTGTTAGACCTATCCCTGTCTCAAGTCAACCATGTGAAAAATTCCCTGGGTCGATTGCTTGATCTGTGCTTTGTCTCGGATCCGACCATAGAGTTGCTAACTCAAGCCCTTCCGCTCACTATACCTGAAGACTCCGACCATCATACATTCGAAGTGTCGGTCGATATTAGGCCTAATGTATTGGATCGAACGGGTAGGCTATCTAAACGTGTCCGCAGCTTTCGTAAATCCGAGCTTACGAAGCTTAATAACCTAAGCTCATTAGGGATTTTGATTGGTCCGCTCTGTGCTTGTGCACTGACGTTTTGATTTTTTTGATTCTTGTGTCCCACTTTCTCGTCCGCTTAGATCTGGGAAGCCTCCTTTGTTTACAAAATAGTTATCCAGTCTAAAAAACTTAAAATCAAGACTTTATAAAAAATTTCGAGAAGCTGGTTCTCCCTCTTCTCTCTCTCGCTATGTAATAGCTCGGTCAAATTTCTCCGTTCTTAACGCTCAATGCTATAAAAATTACCTATCTCGATGCAGGATACGATTTTCACAGGACCCTAAACAGTTTTACAGCTTCGTGAATAGTAAGCATAGAACGTCCGCACATCCATCCTTGCTATCATTTCTTAATTTGTCGGCAAACAATGATCAGGCAATGGCCGATCTTTTTGCCAAATTTTTCCAAACAACTTATTCTCATGAAAGCTACTCTGGTCAGCCGTATCCATACAGTTTACCAAGGTCGAACAGCATTTTCAGCACCTTGTTAAATGAAAGCTCACAGCTTCATGATCTTCGTCTAGTTAAGCCGGTGTTTTCACCAGGTCCTGACGGAGTTCCCGGTAGTGTACTCAGGTAATGTGCCGACGCTCAGTGTGGACCCCTGCTTAAACTATTCGCCCTATCCATTAATTCTTCATGCTTCCCCCCAATCTGGAAGGAAACTTTTATTATTCCGCTCCATAAGAAAGGTAGCAAGTCTGATGCAAATAACACTAGTCAACACGACATTTATGAATGTGCCGAAAAGAAACTGCACACTTTCAATCGTCAATTTCTCGCAGTGCGAGCTT